CTGGTTCCTTCAAAATAAAATCCAGACTTCTCCTAAAGTGAAGCTGGCTGGTTCCTTCAAAATAAAACACAGTCTTCTCCTAAAGTGAAGCTGGCTGGTTCCTTCAAAATAAAACACAGTCTTCTCCTAAAGTGAAGCTGCTCCATTGTCCCTTCTGGGCCTCCGTACATGTGTGGTGGTGACTGTGTCTGCAGAGACTCTGTCCTCTGACTGGATTTTACTGTTCTGATTTGTTCTGGTTGACTCGGGACGTTTGTGGGCGGAGCTGGTGTGTTTCCTCCAGCCAATGAGAGCGCAGCAGGTGAGTTTAGGAGTGGATACAATTCAGTGATTGGACGAGATTCAAAGCGGTGAATATGACGGACGAGGACGTAGCAGCAAAGAAGAGAAAATATAATGAGAGTGAGGAGAAACACCAAGTGGATAAAGATCGTTCTAAAACGAGGGTGAACCTTGTGTTGTCTTTTACCCGTGGACGTGGAGTAGATCTACTTCCTGTTGGACAGGAAGGTGATGAACACCGGCCGTTAGCTTGTGCTAGCGTGCGTTAGCTTGCAGTGTAGATACAAGCAGTAAACGTACACACTGTGACCTGCAGTGAGGGTGAGTTTCTAGAGGAGGAGGGGCCATGTTTGAATGTTGTGTTTACAGACAGATACTGACTCTTCCTTTAAGAACATGGCCTGAAAGTGTTGAAACTCTTTGAGAAACCTCCGGCTCACCGAGATGAGCAAAAGCCCGTCAAGCGGCTCCTGAGACAGAATGGCAGACACGTTCTTGTGCATACGTCATGAGTATTTTTTATCTCAGAATCTGTAGCCAGCTCTGTTGTGATTGCGAGCTCTGGTGTAAACCTAAAACACATTTTATTATTGAATGTTTCTCTTATTATCCCATGTCTTCTTAGCGGGCTTGGCAGAACCAGAGAATGCACATTTCTTTCTTTTCTTGCAGACTGTGTTCTGATGAGCAGCTTCATGTGCAAACTGAAGATCTGCAGAAAGCTTAGGTGGATTTTTTCCTCCTAGTAAGTTTTTTTTAAAATTTGAGACTTGCAGCCTTGTCTGTTTTCTTTGTTTGTTTTTGTATATTTGGTGAGTGCTGCAGACATTCAGCAGGACGTAGTACCTCTAAACACACTTCACGATGTGCCTCATGTTGTTCAGCTCGTGTCTCAGCTCGCAGCACATGGACGTGATGTTCAGCAGACTAAGTGTTGCTGACTAACAGATTCCTCAGCAGCTTCAGCCTGCAGTGGCTCTGCTTATTCCTGGGCTGCGGTTTAGGTCAGTGGTTTGTTCTCAATGCCAGATGTCAGACTGCAGGGAATAATACACACAGCATGCAGTTCACCGGGGTCGCCAGCAGAGGGCGGTGTAGCCTCAATGCCAACGTTAGAGCTGTTCCTCTTGACATGAAGGGGACATTTAAAGATCCATCTGATCCTGTTGAAAGCTTCATGACCAGCAAATACGACAAATACAAAATCAAACAGTGTGATGAAGTTTATTATTTATCTGTGAATAGCAGTTATAAAGATGATGAGTGTTAAACGAGAGCTGTGAAAACAACAGGCTGGATAACAGAATCTAAACGGAGCGACGACGAATAGCTGCATGAAACAAGATGTTAGGTTAATGAAGTAATTAAAGAAACATGGAGCATGTCGCTGTTCTGACAGGATGTAAGCTGTTCAGGAAGCAGATAATTTAATGTCTGTTGAATCAGCGTGTGTGACATCTTGTGCATATTTATAATTTAAGAAGAGAGGGACTTGTAGTCTTAGACGCTGTGACCGAAAATGTTTATTTTGCTTTTATATAAAGGTTTTCTTAAGCAGCTGTGTGCCCTCTCTTAAAGGAGCAGTATGTAACTCTGACCCCTAGTGGTTGAAATGGGTACTGCAGTCCAGATTCTAAACACTGTAGAGAGCTGTCTCCCCCCCTCCCCTCTCTAGAGTGGATGCTCACTCAGGTCACCATGTGGTGGACTCTGAAGCTTCAGTGTTTATCCAGCTCTGCATGGGTCTGTAAACCTTTCTGTGTTCTAACCTCTCTCCATTTTTCAAAAGCATCTCCAATATTGATCCTAGTTTGAGCACGTTTCTGCTCGTGGAGCTTATTAGAAACATGCAGAGGCTTTTTAGGTCGGGTACAATCACTTCTATCTGAACCACTTCTCTTGACCGCTTCCATCACTGCAACACCTGTTGACCTGATAACTGCTCTCATATCTGACAAACCGAGGGGCATCCAAAACGGCCGTGTTGGGGGGGTCTTAAAAGCGCCTACCTTCTCTGGTCCAAACAAATCCAGAGCATTCAGGAGCAGAATCTAAAGTTAGAAGGAGGACATACTGGCTGCTGCATTGTTGTCAGAGAAGCCAGCACTTCAACATAGCATGTTTCCTTAATGATCAGAGAGTAAGATACCTTTATCATCTCACTCTCTACACAGCTCACTGATTGGTCCTTTAAAGACAAGTTCTCTTTTTAAAGGGACGACTCGTGTGACAGGAACAAAACACAGGAGTTGAGTTGATATAAACATCTGAACCTGTGGTGTTTCTAACATGACGGTAAGGAGTGTCTGCCTTCACCGCTCCGTTTTATAACAAGGCTGTGAATGTAGCAGCAGCAGCAGCAGCTCTGGAGATTTCACCTGTGATATTGCATTTTTCCAAAGTAAACAGCACATTGCATCATTGAGCTTCACAGCCAAGGGCCAGAAAGGCCGCCCTAACAATATAATATATACTTTAATGTAGCCTATAAATCACAGTTATTATTTACCATGCAGGCTCCACTTCTCTGCTGTATATACTGAACCTCAGGGAAACATTTTCTCTCTTTCTGCACAAGCTCAAAGTATTTTTTCTTTACTGATATGATCGGTCACAGCGCCCTTAGCTCCAAACCAAGTCGTTCTTTTCTCCTGTTCTCTTGCTTTCTTCACTTGTATGGCTTAGACGCTCACCTTCTTCCAGTGCTTATAATTCATGAAACATAGAGGGACTATTTGTGAAGGTCAGGAAGCTCCAGATCAACTTTATTAACAAATTAGACGGAGGCGTTGCAGCCTGTAGTCTTCATCTGGGTCATGTTTCATTCTGGTCTATCCTGATTGAGAGACAGAATCAGTTACTGATGAGAAAAGTTTGACTTCAGTTTCAAACTCTGCCCTCTGGTTGTAATTCAGAGAAGAGTGTGACAAAGTCAGAGGTTTAGGTAAAGAACAGCTTTAACTTTTAACATTTATCATTTTGTGTTTCAGTTAGTGAGTTAGTTAGCTAGTTTTTAGTCTGTATGTGTCTTAGGGCTCAGTTTCGCTGTCATGGCCCCCCCCCCCCCTCCCCCCACTGGTCTGCACTCACACTGCTCCAGGACTAACCGGGCCTGAGCACGGTTACCTCTTGTACATAAAGTCGTGATACTACACATGCATGGCTTTACGTTATCATGAAGCGTGCTTAGGTTACCATACAGGCAGACAGACGTGTGGTCCAGTCTGTGTCCACACATCTGAGAACAACACCTCCTGCTACCTTCCTAGCTTAATATTCTCACTGCAAACCTCACTCATGCTACAGAGAGGCGACTGAGATTGTTGATTTTTTCATGGCTAATATTCAAATGTTGTATTCTGTGGTTCATTCGGTTCAACGGCTCGTTTGCAGCGTCTGCATGAACCTTCAAACCTCCTGCTGCTGTGTGGAGGTCAGAGTTTGGATTAGGGGAGTGTTTGATTTGTTTGTGGCTGCCAGGATTCACACCTGCATGCTATTGGCCGGCTAATAGCAGGGCCTGAGATCAAAGCTGATGCTGATGTCAGGAACAACTCACAGAGACCAATGCTGCGTTCCAGTTGATCTCGGAAATGGGAAATTCAGAGTTCCCAGTCGGAAGTGTCAACTGGAACGCCCCCTGAAGTCATAATTACGACTCGGAAACGGAGTAAAAAAGTAGCCCTAGTTCAGATCCAACATGGCTGCTATGTGCATCTAAAGGGATGTTTAAGATGTAACTGTTGAGTTTATTAACAGCTTAGTCGACTTTTTGTGTAATTAAATCAGTCAGACCGACGGTATCGTGCAGGTTCTCTCTGTGGAGGTGTTTTCATGTTATTTTTGGTCAGAGACATCACGTAGCGTGTTGTTATCGTCTGGTGTTAGCTAACAAAACAAAGGTACTCCTGGACGCGTCCATGTTGCTTTTCCGACTTGCAACTGGAACGCATTTTAGAAGGGAGCAATGGTGCCCTCTCCCGAGAAATGTGACCATGCATCTCTATTTCGAACTAATTTAGAGAAGATCTATAATAAAGTCACAGATGGGACCTTGACTGGAGACCAGTATCACAGAAAACGGGTTTGTGTGAGTGTTTGAGCTGAAACTGGTGATATGGTAGATAAAAGTCTAAAGGTAAAATGTGAACGGGCATGATGTCTCTGTTTTTAGCCGCATCACCCAGGAATGGACGTAATAAATCACACGTTGGGAAAATCTGAAGGATGGTCTCTGGAGAGAAGCTGGACAATCTGTTTCTGCCCTTTTTTTAGATTGATATAAAAAAAAAAGAAGACGTGAGGCCATTTTTATTTACTACCATAACATCACTCTGAAGGTTTTTCAACACAGCCACAGGCCAAATCCATCATCCGAGAAAAGTGCAATCACTCCCTGAAGGGGGGAGCGCCCTCACAGGTGGCCTTACACACCCTCAGCCAGCAGGGGGGGTCGGATCTCAGCAGCAGGAAGTGTGATGATTGAATCAGTTTAACTAGTGAAGTAATAATACCCAGCTGCTGTCTGTCACACTCAGAGAGAGAGAGAGAGAGAGAGAGAGAGAGAGAGAGAGAGAGAGGAAAATAAAGAGGAGGGAGGGAAGAGGAGGGAGGGAAGAGGAGGGGGAGGGAGTTAAGCATGAGTCTGGTTGAATGCTGCTTCTTTGGCCAGATGTGAAGCGTAGCAGACAGCTTCAGCTCTCCTCCAAAGAGTTTCTGCTGGAGTTTTAACCTTCTGTTTGGGAGCGTCTGCTCCGGGATATTTGAGGGAGAAAATGTACGAGCGACACAAGCGGAGGTACAGCCTCCGTGCCAAAGGAGAGAGAGCTGTGGACGTGGTTTTGATAAAGGTAGGAAACACGTCTGCACTTTCAAAAACTTAAGCAGCTTGGTTCGATAAGACTTGTAGGGCTTTTTGGTAATAACCATCGTTTGAAGAGGCGCTTTACAAACACGGTTGTTAAGTGCTTTAAACAGATTAAAGATAACAGCAAACGCAATAAAAGTAAAGTGAGAAATAAAACGCTGTACTGAAATCATAAAAGGGAGGTCAGAGTTAATTAGTGAAGTCATTAGATGAGAGCTCTGGGAGGTGATTTTAAAAAGCTTTAGATCCCTCCGACAGACTGCTCCTGAAGGACTGCTCTCACTTTTCTCTGAAAAAAGTTGTGGAGAAAAAGTTTTTATCTTTTGGCAGAGCATCATCATCATAACTGTCTCAAAGTGTCGGGGCATGTTGTAGAGAACCTGTACTCGCCTGCCCGCGGGTGTTGTGATGGCTTTTTGCAGTGTTGCACCCTGGGAGATGATTGCATGCTTGTTGATAGTGGCCCTCCACGCTCTCAGAGTGCTGATTATTTCGGGGTGGAGTGCGGGTTTGTGGATGCTTGCTGCACTCTGTCCCTCTCAGTGGAATAAACTGTGTATGAAACTTAAAAGAGGCTCAGGCGGTTTAAGGACTTTCCTGGATTCTCTGGTCAGAAACGTCGGCACTTACCTCCCAAACTATAAACCTAAAAATAGAAGACTGATTATGTTCTTAAAATATCTCATCACACCTGGAGCTCCTGCTGCTTCACCATCACTCTGCATGTGAATCTTTTCTGAACTGGATCTTCACCGGTTATGATTCTGCACAGACGGAGCAGAGCGCTTCAGGCCTTTTTCCACTCATTCTACCTCGGGTTCTTCTTTTGGCTTGGCGACAGCAGCGTTAGTTGTTTGACTGTTTTCGGATAATTCACAAGTCGTTTCTTTTCCGTCTTAAACACAGAGCTGGAGAAGCTAACAAGCCAACGATTCTACTTGTTTTGAGCACTGCAGGAAGTTCAGTTCATAAGAGCGTGTGGGATCAATGGAACAGATGTTGTTACTTAAATGTGCTTTTTTTTTTAAATTGTGAAAAAAAGGTGAAACCGGTGCAAGACGCTGCAAAGAACGCAAAACATAAACAGTGAGGTAATCAGGCGGCAGGGATTAAACAAATGAGCAAAAACATTACATATAAGAAAGAAGGAAAGGAAGGAAGGACAGGAAGCAAAGAGGGACATTTCTAAGTCTGAAGGCCTTCGAGGGTTTGGCGAGTAAGAATGAGAGGGTCGTTTGAAGTATCAAACTTGTTCAGGTGAGATTGTAAAAACAGACAGAATGACACCTGTTGGTTCTTTTATTGTTGTGTGTTTGCAGATCGTGTTAGTGTAGAGCTAAAAGCGCCATGCGGTAACCATGAGGGTTAAATCTGTGAAGATGCATCTGGAAGTTGCTCATCATCATTTTGGATCTGTGTCCTTTAGAGCCCGACAGATAAATCAGCCAGCCAATATCAGCAGATCAAGTGACTATCAGCTAATTTAACCTCTGATATGGGTTAGGGTCAGATATAATTTCATTTGAGTTTAATTGTGTTACACCAGCAGTTCTCTGTCACCAGCAGAGGGCGCTGTATGGATTACACTCGGGCCTGACTGATATGGGTCCAAAAATCTCATATCATTCGAGCATGAATTACAATAAACAAAAACCTCACTTTAGACACTTGAGAACTCCACACCTCTTAAAGGCAGGGTTGGTCATTTTCTAAAACTAGCATGATTTTGAAAGTAGCATTCCCTCAGTGCTCCGTCTGCACCCCCCCCCCCCCCCCCCGTGCTCCCTCGTAAGCCACGCCCCCTCACTTACATGCACGAGCGCCGTTGCTGCAGAAGCGGACCTCAGCTCATCTCTTACATTGTGTAGAAACTACGGTGATGCACTTTGAGTGTGGGCTAGGGAGACAGGGAGGCGTCTGATTGGTTCATCAGATTGGTACCTCGTGGCAGACATTGGTTGAAGTTTTTACAGACTTACAAACTGATACAGATGATGGATTCTCTTTGTTCCTTTTTCAGAGAACATGAGTTATTCATTTCTGTCAGAACCTAAAGACAATTTCCACCAGAATCTGAAGAAGTGGATCTGGAGGAAATGACCAACCCTGACTTTAAAGCGCTGAGATAGTGGCCTGAATAATATTGAGAGAGAATCAAAGTGACTGAGGAATAAAGGGATGCAGCTCTCTGTCAACTGCTGATCATAAAACGGTGAATAATCTGAACGTGTGGCGCTGTGTTTGTTACTATAGAGCCTTTATTCACAGTCACTGTACTTAGTGAGTAGACTGATGATGTGCTGTGTGACTCCGGGCCCGGAGAGATGCTGGGATGTGAAACGCTGGTTGGAATGAAGTCATTTGGCCGAACGCCTGTTTCCATCTGAGGCCAGAGGAAACCGTTAGCCCAGAGCAGCCTTTTTCCCACACCATCATATCTCTCCCTCCCTCGCCCACTCGCTCAGTCCTCCTCTGTACTCTCTCTCTCTCACACACACACACACACACACACACACACACACACACACACACGGTCATCCTAGCTATTTCATCGTCGGGTGAGAAGAGGAGGTGACATCAGGAACACGTTTAGAAAGTGACAATGGGCTAAAGAGAGGTGTTACATAAAGCAGAGCGATCCACTTCATAGATACATTCCTCTCAGTACCTCCCTGTCTCATTCTGGATGTCACAAAACCCGGCAGACGGGGAGACGATCACCATGACGCACCGAAGGTCAGCGGTTAAAGAGTTTGGATTGTCGTTAATACTCATCAGGCAGGAAAGGAAATCGTTCAGTTTTGAGTCAGCATCTTAGCTGGAAGTCGTGTCATGTTGACTTTGATTAACCACTTTTTGATCGTCTTGATTTTAAGACTTCTTCCTCTTTAGAAGTCGATGCAGTTATCAACAGCATTGTAACACTAGTGTTTAAACTAGGTCAAAACTTTATGCAAAATCCTCTTCCCTAACTCTAACATGTGTCTCTAGACCGTCTACAAACGGACAATGATGAGAAAAGTCCATCCTCTCCGTCTTCTGCCTGCTCCACTTTTCAGAAAATGTGTGCTCAAACAGGCCGTTTGGAGATTTTCCCTTAATGACATCACAAAGGGCAGTAACCCCTCCCCCAGGTGGGTGACACTCCCACAGCTAGGTGTTTGTTCTGCCCTCTGAGTCTGCCTTCTCACCGTAAACAATAGGACATGGAGCGAGAAAGACCGAGTACACCCAAGCCCTTCCAGAGAGGGGGCGTGGTCAGACACAGCTCATTTACATATTTAAAGGTACAGACACAGAAACAGCCTGTTCTGAGACTTCTTTACACTGGTTGATATGGAAACAGGAAAATACAAATAACGATCTCCTGCATCGACATCCCAGCAGCATGCTCTCTCTACGTTTTACCCTACAAGTTATGCAACATGATGAAATCCAGTCAAAAGATAAACCTGACCGGCTCTTTTTCTTTAACCAGTCAGTCCCTAAACCATGGGGGATGTAGTTTCACATTCAGGACTGTTTCTCAGCAAATCCCCGTCCCTGTTAGCTCCCGTCGGCCCTGCTCTGTGACCTCTGGAGTTCAGTGAAAGAATAATTTGTCTTAAAACATAAAAATGTAATCTGAAATAGATCCTGTGTAGCAGTTAGGTCACAGTGTGACAGTTGGTATGTTTGCTCTTATCCTGTTATGGCTCGACTTCAGTGCTACCTTCTGTGCTTCAGAGACTTGCCCTCAGGTCTGCTGCCAGCCGCCCCTCAGGGTGAAAACTTTGTGTGCACATACCTGGCTGAAAACAGTCGTTCAGTCAGTCATGGCAGTCATCCCTCAGCGCTGTGGAACCTTCTCCGGCCGTCTGCGCTCCAGGCCCCGCCTCCCCCCTGCAAAACACACAGCAGCACGCTCTTTTATTTTTAAACCAGATGTGTTTTTACTGGGTACAGTTTAGATTCCCCCGGCGCTACAAATATGCAGCGCCCTGCTCGAACTCCCGCCTGCCAGCTTTCAGAGGAGGGATCCGTTCTCAGGCATGCTAGCTGACTTTAAAACGTGGTAGATGTAGGGTTTGCTGACTGCTTCACTGTCACCTTGTGCTTCCTTACACCTCAGATATGGTCCTGCGGTCCGGTTTCACCTACTCAAAAACAACCTCCCTAAGCAGTCACTCGGGGAAACTTGGGTTTCCAAGAGCGTCTTAAAAAGAGGGGCCTCGTTCTCAGAGCATGGCAATCCCCAAAACATGAACAAACATGAATATTTTGTGAATCTTGGAGCAAACTGCGATATCATAAAAAAACAGGAAGAAGTTAAAGACATAATCCAGGCTCGAGGCAACAAAGCTGCAGCTGCATGGAAAGCAGGAAAGAAGAGAAAAACGACCACTGTGCGAATGTGCAAATTAGAGCCTATATCATCACTGCCCCATTATTAAAGCATGAGTGGATCTGACTATAATTACAGCTGTGTATTGCATGAAATTGATGTCTTGCTCAGATGTAGTTATCTGCTGTTTAGAGTCTCTTCTGCAGAGAAATTAAAGCAATCTAAAAACAAAATGCTAAGCAGTGAGTAGACGTTCTTTAACATCCTGAATGTACGTCATTATAGAAGATTATTCTGAGGCCTCATCCTACCTCATGATCCACACACTGACCTCTGTGGTGGAGACGCATTTTAGGACGCACTCAATCTCGGCCTACTTGTCCCGTATGGTGCTAAAGCCCGATTGCCCTGCTGGCCTGCACTCACACTGCTCCAGGACTAACCGGGCCTGAGCACGGTTACCTCTTGTTCTTGCACCCTTAAACTGCCTGATATGTTATTTAAGACTAAATCTCAGCACCCATCTGCTATCATGGGACGACGACTCTGTCTCCAGGAGCGAGGGGCCGTCTCTCCGGGTCTTCTGGTGTCGCCAGCTGTCCGGCCTGGGTTTTCCTTTTTGCACGTTTGGTTTGTTTACAGTCTGACCTGCAGCTTAA